GACAGGACAAGGGGCAATGGGCACAAACTGAAGCAGAGGAAGCTCCAGCTGAACATGAGGAAGAACTTCTTCCCTCTGAGGGTGACGGAGCCCTGGCCCAGGCTGCCCAGGGAGGCTGTGGAGTCTCCTTCTCTGGAGATATTCCAGCCCCGCCTGGACAAGGTCCTGTGCAGCCTGCTCTGGGTGACCCTGCTTGGGCAGGGGGTTGGGCTGGGTGACCCACAGAGGGCCCTGCCAACCCCCATCATGCTGGGATTCTGTGACCGTGAAACACGCTGCTACCACGAGCTGAGGGTGGGCCTGCAGAGAAATAAGGCTTCCGAGCTTTGCGGAACAGAAACGTGATTTCTCTCTCTCAGATTCACAAAAAGCGCGCGCTGCCTTTAAAGCAAAGTATAACTCACACAGCAAACGCAACGCAAAAGACAAATATCATGAATTTCTACCACCGAGCCATGTGAGCTACGCGTCGGAGCTTCCCTCCGCGCCGCTCCGTACCGCTCTGCTGTTTGCTCCCAGCGAGGTAACGGGGCGTTAGGACGGGGCCTCTCGCCCCAGCCGCGCGGTCAGCGTCCCCGGCACCCACGCTCCCCGCACCCGAGCTGGCAGCTCGCTCTACGATCTGTCGGTGGAGACAGACAAATCCTTCCTACGGCATCAGCAGGTGAACTGACGTCGCCCGTTACAAATTAGTCCGGATTTTACGTTATATTTATAAAGGAAAGCTGCCGGGGACAGTTTCATCTCACTCATGTTTTTCTGGGTACTGACTGCAGTGACTCCACCTTCATTAAAATCGATATTCTTTTTTATCAGTCATTGACTCATTTGACTCATAAAAATAGGGACATCTTGCAGCAGCAGCTCATGAGAACGAAGTCAAATGCAAAGAAAATAAAAGATTTGGTTAGATTTAGGGGAAAATAGAGAATAAGAACTATACAACAATCCTATATATATCCTTAAAAGAAAAAATATTACAAATTAAGAACTAGAAATCCGTTTCTAATGAAGACAGCACAAAAAAAGCATAATTACGATGTATAAATTGTAAGGTAAAAATTTAAAGAAAACCATGCAGAATGAGTTTAACACATCACTTTCATGCAAAATAAATTATTGGTTTCTAGTGTATCATCTATATAGGTAGGTAAGGACTTACAGTTTTTACCTTTCCTTTTTTCATTAAATTTTAAAACATGATAAAGCGTTCTGCTGAGAGAAAATTTCAAAAGAATATTGTAACTTCAGAGGCACATAACATTTGGTAAATAAGAGAAAACTGAGAAAACCAATTTTGAATTCACATTTACAGAGAAAGTTCTGCCAATGGTAGATCATAATGTGTAATACAAAAGTTAAGGTTAAGTAATATGTGCTATTGTAAGAAAAAAATGGCATTTTCTCTCCTAGAATATTAATTCAATAGTGAAAAACAGGTCAGACACATGCAGCAAAAAAATATTTGAAGCAGAAAATTTGATAAAGAAATTATGTGGACTGCTTAATTTATGGTGATGATTAATAAAGGCTTAAGATAAAAAAAATGAATGGTATAAAGAAAGCAAATTAACACTCCCATTAATCTTCTCTTCTACTAAGCCAAGACTATGTGAACTGATGCGTTTACCCAAACTCGACAACGATTAAAAGGATTTCTTCAATACACAGTATTTGCTTCGAAATATCATTTATAACAAAGAAAAATGCGAAAATAAGAGTCCTATACATTTAGATCTCTCCAAGGTACGTCTCTATCTGCTGTTTCATTCCACAGGTACCAAACCCAAAGCGGGCGACCCCCCAGCACGATGCCAAGGTCTCCTTGGCACGCGCACTGCAGGCGTGACTGACACTAACAACCATCACCTTCCTCCCAGTTTCCGAATTTTGGACCCCTTACCTTTGGGCCTCACTTTTTCCATACAGAATGATGGCATACTGCTCTTCTTCTATGCCGTGACATATCTGTCTTCTGTTCTGCACTGGAATTTAGTTTGAATACCATGGTGGCACATTACAGAATGGTAGGGGTTGGAAGGGACCTCTGTGGGTCATCTAGTCCAAAGATGTTCAAGAGACCCAAACCAAATATACCAAAAATCCCTAGCTAAATTAGACACTTTATATATTCTTCAGTATGGTTCTTCAGCAGCATAATTAAAATATACAAGGTTAACCGTATATTGCTATTAAAATATAAATAGTCCTGAAGGTATTTATTAGCAGTAAAATGGCCTCCACCATTACTCATTTCATATTTACGGGGACAGGAAAAATACCTGGTTCTCTGCTGTCCTTTCTAGTAGCCAGAGACATAAGGCAGTTCTCCATATCAATTTTCTGTGACACTTAGAAGACTGTAGCTACCCTGTGTTACCATCTGTAAAGAATTTCTTGACGGAGCGAGCAATCTTAAGCAACGAACCACCACACCGAATAAAGGAACTCCATGTAACGGAAAAAGTATGTTTCCTACATTTGTAAATAGAATTTATCCGAAGTCTCTGTGCGGTGTAAGAAAGAAATATGTTGAGAGATGATGAAGAATGGATTACAGTGGAACAATGTTTAATTAAAGACTTGTAAGCATCTTTCATTAACGTTGAGAAAAATTCAATTAAGGAATGGATTACATTACTTCATGCTTCATTACGTAGCTAGCACCTACTATTAATTGGTTTTTCCACTACCTTGCCCTCTTTTGTTTCCCGAACACTTAAGTTACAGTAACTTTTAATTCCTTATAGTAAACATTAATCAACAGAAGAACAGATTTAAAGATTCTACAAGAGAAGTTCCACACAGGAAGGACAGCTTAGGTAATCTTGCAGGACCTCATTTGCAGTTATAAAAATATTAGTCAGACAGCGCTGGCATCCCTCCCGCGAGGCTGAATGGCTTCTCCTGGCAAAGAGCTGGCTTTAAAGCAGGGCCATGGAGGATCCAACTGTGAGGTCACCCACCCCCATACCTGCGTACGTCAGGGTATCAAACACCGTATTAATTACTCGTTGAGCAAGACGGACTCCTTGGGAGCAGCCGTTACCTCCCCAGCTCACGGCTTCAGCGGCTGCCCCGTTTTTGTGTTACAAAGCCAGAAGAGTAGGTGGCCCTACTCCTCCCCACGCAGCACCAGCTGCAGGAACGGCATCTCCGCTGTCTGCCTCCTTCAGAGAGGGCAGAAAAGCAGGTGTAGAAATGTAACTGAAGCTCTAGAGCCAATGGCCGTGACTCTTCCCACAGCAGGCAGGTCTCCCAGCCGAGAGCCAGCCCTGTTCCAGAGCTGAAGCGCGTGCTGCACACACATTTAAGAACAGAACGTTGACAGCAGTATTACAGGCAGAACAGCGATTACCTTGGGTAGCTCTTCAATTTGGTTGGCATCTAGGTAAAGCTCCTCTAACGTCCGTTCAAAGTTAAAAACCTCCTTTGGCACCTGCTGCAGGCCACAGTGAGAGTAATCCAACACGGAGACGATTTCTTCTTCACCACGAAAACACCGGCAGGGCACCAAGCGGCCGATAATTTTCCTTTTGGTTGTCATCTCCAAGCAGCATACTGAAGGAAAAGGGAAAAAAGAGTTTTCTGAAACTATCAACATGTTGGGGACTATTTCTTCAGAATTATTAGCAAGATTGCAGTCCGTTAAATACAGCTTTTCCTGAGGGATACCTGTAGAGTCTGCATTCTGCATTTCTTACTCTACCTTTCCACAAAACATGAAAAAGTCAGATTTGCCAGCACGAAAAGCAATCTCAATACATCAGGTGTTCCCCTGCACAGGGACAGAAGGAAACATGCCAAGAAAATGCACAACTGCTGCTTTCCTCAGCGGTGAGAACCAGCTGAGCAAACCCTACCCGTGCGAACAGGCTCCTCGGACCCAGCACCAACCAGCAGCGCTCGGACTCCGCGTGCCGGCCCCTCGCCCGGCTCGGGCTGCGGTCCCCAGGTGAATCACTCGGAGCCACTGGGCTCGGACGCGCCCCGACAAACGCCCAGCCGTATGGCACCCGATTTCTCTGAAGCCAACAGAGCTCCTCAGCTTCCCACAGCTACTCCGGGAGTAGGTTCGCTGTCTTTCCAACCACATGAATGAAGAGAAGGGTATGTAAACTTAATTGGGTACAAAACTAGAAGAAAAGTAAACCAAAACCAGACTGTTTTGTTTACCCA